CCAGCCCTTCGGGGAGAAAAACGTGTAAAGCTATGCCAAGAGGTTAGGGGACCTAGTGTATTTATAGGCTTCAATAGGGACATGAAGGAGGTGCTAAATATGGGCTTAATCCTTAAGGTTTAGGAATCCTTATTATCTTCCATCTCCTTTTTCCCATCTAGGATAATATTCCTAATAATTAATTACCTTCTAAAAGACTCCATAGTCTCCTAACCCTAGGTAATATTCTAGAATGAATATTCTCATCCTTAGGGAATTATGGAATATAATTAATTCCTAATTCCTAATCTTGGGATTAAATAATAAAACATTCTACTAAAGTAATATTATTGCTCTCCCCATTTAGCTTCGAGTTACAATTAATTCGTTTCCACTTATTAAATATATTAATCCAATTGATCGATTTATCTCCCCATGTTTACGATATAACGTCTGTTGATTAATTAAATTACTGACAAAATAATCAATCAACTTCTTATTCATTTCCGAAACTAGTACCACTCAGATCCTTAATCATTATGCCGGATAACACATCCGCCTGCAGGGCTTGACATAATATTCCTTCCTGAGCTCAATTCGGGGACGTCATCAACCCAGCGCACTGGGACACAGTGACCGTAAATATTTTATAACAGCACATCATATAAACATACTTAATTACCAAAATACCGAGTATGTCATCCTAGCAAAATAGGAATCACCCTTGATAAATCAAATAAATAAGTAATGAATACATATGCTCATTTTATATTATCTTACAACTTAAGAGTACGCATCAATTACTGAAGGTCTAGATTACACAACGGTCAGTGAGTCTCATAATCTTATCCTTCCGTGGTCCTGTTCAACACCTATCATAAGTGCTAGTGTAATTCTCCAGTCAAAGACCAACTGAATCAAGAATACACTACAGTCTTTTTCCAAGAGGGATCTCACTGCCTGTCTAGACTGTGAACGAATAGTTTAGTCTTACAAGGAACCGATAGGTGATCTTTCTTTTCGAAACACTTCGAACCACACTATCTCAATGTAAGACAAGGAGTATGATTGCATAAATAAATAAACTGCAAGCATATGTACTTTGACCGAAACATGACGGCTAGATCAAAATGAAATTGATAGAATCTGTAAATAGGAGCTTTTACAGAATACCTCTAACAGATTCGCAATGACTAAGTGGGCCATTACAGCCTTTACCGGTACCCGATGCAGTTTGGGAGGATATTACGATGGATTTCATCGAAGGTTTGCCAAGTTCTAATGGGGTCAACGGTTTTATGGTCGTGGTGGATCGACTTACAAAGTATGCCCATTTCATACCCATCACCCATCCTTACACCGCAAAGTCAATCGCCAGGTTGTTTGTAGAATATGTGATGAAGCTACATGGGGCGCCACGTTCTTTTGTTTCTGATCGAGACCGGATCTTTATGAGCAGCTTTTGGTCCAAATTCTTTAAGCTGCAAGGGACCAAGTTATCAATGAGCTAAGCCTACCACCCACAGACGGATGGGAAAATCGAGGTAACCAACCGAACCCTTGAGCAGTATTTAATGTGCTATGTCCATCAATTTCCAAAGAGGTGGGAAAACTTTCAACCATGGGCTGAGTATTGGTAGAACACCACTTATCATGAGTCAACTAAAATGACGCCATTAGAGTTGGTATATGGACGCAAACTGCCGACGTTGATCAACTATTCAGAAGGAAGTACAGTCAACGATGATGTTTGACGAGAACTGGAGGAACGGGATTTGATGTTGCGAGAACTAAAGAAGAACCTCGAAGGCTCGAATAATCGAGCCAAAGCCTTCGCAGATGGAAGAAGGCGTGAAGAAAATTTTGCGCCAGAAGAGTATTTCTACTTGAAGCTGCGACCATTCAGACAGCACACGACAACACAGAGGGTAGCGACTAAGTTGGGAGTGTGCTACTATGGGCCTTATCAGATTCTGAAGCGCATTGGTCAGGTAGCTTATCGCCTAGAATTTCCAGAAAGTTCGCAGATCCATCCAGTTATTCATGTCTCACAGCTCAAGAGAAGCCTAGGAGAAGCGCACAAATATTCCGAAGAGTCACCGGCAACCGCGACCGATGGGAGGATCATTGTGCGCCCAATACGTGCGATTGAGTATGGCAAGCTGAGAAAAGCAGGTCGCTATCGCTGGGAGGTTCTAGTTGATTGGGAAGAGTTGCCACTTGAAGAAGCCACTTGGGAAGATCTTGATGAGATGCGCGATCAGTTCCCGAATTTCATCCTTGAGGACAAGGAAGCTTGAAGGGGACGAGAATGATGCGGAAGTGGCTAGGCAGCTCAAGAACGCCGCATGTCGCGCCTACCATGCATGCAAAAAGCAAGCACGGGAGATGGCAGAAGTGCGCG